CACCCTCACCTTCATTCTTAAAGACTATTATATTAGGAGAGTACCGAGTCCCTGGTTGGTAGTTATTTTCTTTCTTTAGACTGAAGGCACCATTCCATTGTCTTTTCTTCTTCTAATCATCACTGTTGAAAGTCAGGGTTCAGTCTGCCACTTCTTAAAAGGCAATCTGTTCCCCTACCCACTCCCCTGACTGATTGTAATATTTTCCTTTTATCTTTCATTTTTTTAGATTAGTATATCTTTCTATTCATTTCTCTTTCTATTTCTACTCACTTAGTTGTTTGGGTTCCTTGGGATTCTTGTTTTTATAAATGTGATGTCTTTCATCAGTTTTAGAAAGGTCTTAGTCATTAGCTTTTCAAATATTGCTTCTGTTCCATTTATCTCTCACTTTTCCTTCTGAGATTACAACTAAATGCATGTTATATCTTTTTTTTTTAAAGATTTTATTTATTTATTTGACAGAGAGAGACACAGCGAGAGAAGGAACACAAGCAGGGGGAGTGGGAGAGGGAGAAGCAGGCTCCCTGCCAAGCAGGGAACCTGATGCGGGACTCGATCCCAGGACCCTGGGATCACGACCTGAGTCGAAGGGCAGACGCTTAACGACTGAGCCACCCAGGCACCCCAAATGTATGTTACATCTTTTATAAGCCTCCTCTATGTGTCTTAACCTCTCTTCTATATTTTCTATCCTTTTGCTTATCTGTGCTTTTTCCCCAAATAGATTCTTCTGACTTATCTTCCAGTTCACTGTTTCTCTTGTCATCTCTGTCTAATCTGTCTAAAATACAAAAAAAAAAAAAAGCTTTGACTAGATCATAATTTCAGCTATTATATTTTATCCAGTTCTAGAAATTTTAATTGGTTCTCGTTCATATTTGCAGTGTCACTTTATATAGTTTGCAGTTCCTTGCTGAGAGTTTAAAGTTTGACTTTTATCTCCACGAGCTTAGTAATCGTAATTGTTTACCAATCTGCCATATTAGTATGTTTATTTCCATTGTCTGTTATTCACATTGTATCTCATTTATGTTATATTATCTCCTCAGGTACATGCATATCTTTTATAATGTGCTGGCTATTGTCCATGAAAAATTATTAGTAGAAAGGAGATCTAGGATGAATTTATCTCCCTTTGAAGAAGATTCTAAATTGCCTTTGTCAGATGTCCAAAGGTATGTTAACAGTACAGGGTGCCCTCTCATTATTCCATGGCTTCAGATTTGGGGGGCCACTCAGATGACTCAAAGCTGGGATGCAGTCTCTGTGAAGGCTGTTTTATTTTCCTTATACCTAGGATATGGGATGGTTTGGCAGGACTTCCACCCTATTCCATCTCTGAACTCAAACTTTGCTTCTCTTTGCCCTGAGAGGCTCACAGAGGTGCTGCTAACCCCTTCTGGATCAGCAAATGCCCTATAGGTAAAAGCTATCTCAAATACTAGACTCACATCTCTCAAATATTAACTCAGAAATTTCACACTATCTTGTGAGTTCTGTGCTACATTTAGGAAGGTGTTTTTTAATATCACCTAAAATGTTTAAATTGTCTTTGTCAGGAGAGTTGGTGTGAGTCACTGTTATGGCAAGTGTATACTTTGCTCTATACCTTAAGTTTGTACAATGCTTTGCCAACTTAGATTTATAGTCATAAATCAACTGATCTTTTAAGTAGATTACTGATTTCATCTTGTAAAACAGTATTTGAAATTATACCATTTGACTGGACTATTTTGAAAAATGTGAAACAACTTTTGAGTTTTCCTGAGTTAAATCTGAAAGCTAGCCAGTTGGAGTTTGTGTAAGAAACTGTCAGAAAATTAAATAGAAAGATCCATTAGCCAAGAGAATCTGGTTTATATTTGAATGAAATGTCTCTAAATACAAATGAAAGATGGAAAAATCTTTGGTTAAAAAAAAATCAGGTAACCAAAAAAAATAATAAATAAATGAAAAACAAAAAGAAAATCTCAAAATACATCCTCATTCACTCTTGCATTAAGGATAAAGCATTAGTTTCAGGTGAGAATGTATTTAAGTTGAAGGTAGTGACAGAAACTTTGGTCATCTAACCAACTAACAGGCATCTCTCTTTCTTCCACCTCCATCCCCCAATTTATTCTGTCCTATCAGACACTGATTTGTTCAAGTAGCAGATTGAGATATCCTGATCTCAAGAAAAGTAGAACCCATGAAAACCCTCAGAGGCTTAATAATAATTGATTTGAAGTAGCTACGATAAATTCGTTCCACTAAAAGTTCCCTATTCTCTCTTGCAGCTAATTCCGACCAATGATTATGTAAAGGGACTTGCGTGAAAATTTTGCTTCCTTGATTCAAAAAATACAAAATAGAAACAAATAGCATTATTCCTTCTCCCTTTCTCTGCATCTGTACTCAGGCAGGACGTTCAGAGCTACTGCAGCCATTTTTTGACCATGAGGAAACAAACACAAAATGACAAATCAACACACTAACGATGGTAGAATAGAAACTGAGTTGCTAAACAAACCCCGCAATCAACTACCTCTTGATTTGTATTTAGGTAAAAAAGTAAATGTCCTTATATTTTAAGTTGCCAATAGTTGGGTTTCCCATGATTTGACATTGAAAACATCCATAACTAATGCATTTATTAAATATGCTCAAAAAGCAATGTTCTGACCCAGGTTTGACTAGAGATGTGCTTGAAATTTGTGTCACCTACCGTAATACAAGAGTCCTGAGGCTCAAGGTCAAAATCAGTGAAGTTCAAGAGAACACGGTGATTTCTTTCCACCCGAATGACCCAGGAGCAGTCAGTGTTACGCCTATAAGGACTGGGGTAATTTGGAGAATGAATCTCTCCATTGGGAGCCTGGAAAATTCCGCCACAACCTGTAAGTAGGAAACCCAATTCAAAAATGAGAGGAATCCCTGATGCATAAAACTTTGCCCCATGACCTGATAGCACAGAACAATATGCTGCTTTGTTCAACCACTTGTTTTATGTAGTTGGTGCTAAACATTGTGCAGAACTGAATATCCACCATTAATTCATGCATCCCAACAAAAAGAAGGATGACTAAGAAAATCTCTCAAATAATTTAAATACTGATGACAAAAGTAATTTTTTAAAAAAATTTTTAAATACTGAAAAGTAAGTGCAAATAAAATCATGTTCTCATAAAGCCATAAAATGCCTCTTCTTTGCTCTCTAAAAATATAATATACTGTAAGAATAACACATCTCCTACAAATTTTGATAGCTTAGTAGTGTATGTTTTTAATAATTTAATATCTGCCTTTTAAAATTTAATATTCTGGACCTGGTACAGTTATTCAGTCTTTTTATTCCTATGATATTATCAAATACCTATCAATGTCTATCTCTATGACTTATCATATCTTGGAGTTATGATGATATAAACCTATAATAGAAAAATGTAGTATTATTTTCTAATAGTTGACAACCATTTTGGGTAATCTAAACACTATGTATACATAATCATATATATAATCCTCATTAAATTCAGGCATCATTAACTTTAGGGAAGATCCAACACACTTACTATACCACATTAGGGTTCCAAAAGTGGGGCCATGAGGTAGCCTGGGGTCACATCTCTACTTTGGTATTTCCTAGCTATGTGACTTTGGACAAGTACTAACTTCTCTAGTTTCAATTTCCTCATTAGTAAGGTGAGGATTTGAAATTATCTTCCCTCATAGGGTGGTTGTGAGAGATGAAATGAGATCGTTCTCATAGAACAGTTGGAATAGATGCCTGGCACATAGGAAGCTGCTAGCAAACATGTTTTTATTAGTAGTTGTATAGGTTAACATCTGCTCAAATATTTTGTACATTCATTTTTTATTAAAAAAAATCTGCAACAGGTAAATATTTTTAGACAGCCTAAGATCCTAGGCAGAAAGTCACTATATAATACAATTCCTTGGAATTCACAAATTTAATATGTATAATTTGGGCATCTGCCAAGCATCCAAAGATCTATGCCATGGCATGAAGTAATTTACCACTTTGCTGTATTTACCCCAAAATAATTTACCCCAAGTAATTTACCCCAAATTTGAGGCTGGTAACCAGGCCTGAGGCCCTTGGAAAGTAAGTTAATCTAACCAATTTCGCCACTTCCGCTTTCACCATGGACTTGCATACTTGCATGCCCTAGTTTTCACATATTTTAACTCTGGAAGTTAAATTCTATCACATTTTTGGGGCACCTGGGTGGCTCAGTCGGCTAAGCAGCTGCCTTGGGCTCAGGTCATGATTCCAGGGTCCTGGGATCGAGCCCCGCATCGGGCTCCCTGCTCAGTGGGGTGCCTGCTTCTCTCTCTCCCACTCCCCCTGCTTGTGTTCCCTCTCTTGCTGTCTCTCTGTCAAATAAATAAATAAAATCTTTAAAAAAAAAAATTCTATCTCATTTTTTTTAGGGAAGAGTATATGCCAAAGCAACCTTTGCCACTTGAGGAGTCACTAAGTTGTCACTATGTTAGGCTTCATACCTCTCTCTCCAATCATTTCATAAAATTTATAAGGGTTCAGGTTAAGTATTTTGAGACACCTCCTTGGTTCACTCACCTCCGGGGACTGCTTGCCATGAGGCATTGAAGCCTCTCCCATTTACAGAGCTGTCGGTCTTGAAGCGGATGGCTAGCTCATTTCCAGTGCTGGAGACCTGCATGGGATTCTCAGATGATCTTTGGGCACACAGCTGAGATATTCGGGGAGAGTGGAAATCAGGGCCTCCATAGATCTAAGATGGAATGTAGAAAAAAGGACTGAAATTAAGAGATATATTTAAGCAGTGACAGCCCTTCCCCTGACCTCGTTTTACCACCAGCTCTTGGATTCTATTATCATGAGAGACTGAAATCTCAGCCTTCCTGGATGGGGATGAACTGTAAACTTGAGCTGGATTTTCAAAGGCACTCCCTCAGCCCTAGGAACACATAAATTCAACCACCCACAAAATGCCTGCTTATTTTATCAGTCAGAATTGTACAGCTGAACTGAACAGATTATTCCAGAATCTTCCCTATCTCCCCTTTTCCTCTTTCCACGTCTTCATAGGATTTCCTGCTTTCTTTGGCAGAGGCATTGCCGATAAAACAGTATCAAGTCTGATTTTCTAAGTCTTCTAGGCACATGGAATAGTCTTAGCATAAAGCCATATTGTTTGTGAAAGTCAGTTCACTGAAAGCTGTTGATCTCCCAGTTGGATTTTTTATGATCTTCCACTTTGCAATCTGAATACTTTATAAAACTGGGCATTTAATACAATATTTTACTTCTTCAGAGACAGTGAAAATACAACCTTTGTATCAGTGTGTTCTGTGGTATCCTTAAGAAGGGACTCCCCCAGATTCTCGTTGAACCTACTCCCAGAATCCTATTGGTGGGAACATGACCAAGAGCAGTCGACTTCCTCTGGGAAATTGCCCTGGACTCTGCCCATATCTGGACGGCTCCCCCTAGATCCATCTCAAGTGTTCTCAGATCTCCTAGGCTCCTCAGATTGCAACCATCTACCTGACCAGGACCCCAGTGCCCAGGGACACATTCCTCCCAGCAAGTGCCCCCCACCCCCACCCTGGGGTCTCAGAGTCACATCTTTCTGGCAGATGTGCCCAGCCCAGGGCAGGTCTCTAACCCCTTACACACTGATTTCTCAGTTGGGGGTGGGGGGGATGGAGGGTAGGGGGAAGGGGTGGGAAGATAAGAATCAAACAAAAAGTACTGAACCCCTACCTCCGGGTCTTGCCAAACTCGAATTTGTAGCAGAAAGACCATTTTTGGGGACAGTTTTCAGGCATAATGGTATCTGGGTCCTTCCCTCTCCCCCACATGCATATACTCATAATTCCGGGGCTCCAGGGCGGAACCAGAACCCGGAAAGCAGCGCTGCGCTTGGGGAGATCTGTGCGCAGGGCCCTCCCACTCCTGGCACCTGTGCCGCTCTCTCCCCATTCCTCCTCCCGCCCCAGGCCCTCGCCCACCCTCAGGGCAGCTGTTGACTGATAGGGGGAATCACTCAAGTGTTCTCTGAGGGGAGAGAGGGAGAACAAGAAGCCTACTTTTGGCGAGGCGTGTGTGATTGGAATCTATAATGATTTCTTTGTCTGATTAATTCCCCCCAGCCATGCGGCAAGGGCCAAATGAATGAAGCTACTGTTCACAGAGGGCTGAGCACAAGGACTTTAATTGCAAAGGAATGAAGCAGGCGGATGGCTTCAAGCTTATTTTCATAGGAGGAGCTATGTTTGTGTGGCCCCCTAAGTCCCATCAAAAGCAGGACTTCAGGAGGAGGCCTGTGTGGCCCTTTACACGTACACATGTGCAAATGGAAGGAGCAGATCGCTTCTGGCTTACAGTGTCCTTTCCTCGTTTCAAGATTTGCCTGCCCGCCACCCGCCCCCATAACACAGTCCTCAGAGCATGGAACTGACAGCACGAGCTGTCCGGGCCCAAGAAACAGCACATATTTGGAGAGAACTCTGAGCACAAGGCTTTAGTTCTGACAAAGAAAACTTGCACATTGGCAAAATAGTCTTTGTTTTCCCTGCTCGGGGTCCCCTTAAGATCACAAACATAAACGGGTATGAGGGTATGAGTCCACTGGGCCTAGAAGCCTCCAGGAGAATCAACACTGCTGCTTTTGACCTTTTTCACTTCCCCTCTTACGGGGCTGGGCTCAGTACAGACCATGGAAGAGAGACCAGAGGGAGTAAACTGCCCACACCAAGCAATTGTCTTGATTTATTGCCCCAAGGAGTGGATTTCCTTTTCTGCTTTATGCGGGTTCAGGCTCCTTTCTCAAGAGACTGAAGTAAAATCAGCCAGAGTGTTTCCATGACCCAAACAATAGAACAGTACTTTGGGCTTCCACAAATAACACCAATAGTTAACGCATGACTCTTCAAAAGAGGAAAAAGATGGAAAGAATTTCAGGGTGTGGTTCATTCAACTACAGCATATGACTAAACTTTGGGGGGAAAAAACGGGTCTGATGATGGGAGATTAAAAAATGTGTTTTTAGCAAATGCTCAGGATATAGAACATTTCAAAGCCTATGGTTTTAATCTGTTTTGAACATTTCTTTCTGCTCTGTTAGCTCCATTTATTGTTACAATCAAGTCAGCATTCCAGGGTTATGAGTAACCGAACGGCTGTTGCTTAATGCAAGCGGCCACTTTCTGGACACTGATTTTTCAGGGAAAAAAAATATTGGCTCCTGGTAAAATCTGGTGAAACCCAGGTAGGCCCCATATCTGGTGACAGAGAGGTCCTACGTGGCTGTGCTCAGAACAGGAAAGGATAACGCACAGCCTCAGAACAGGCGGGTCAAGAAAGCCAGCAGTGTCTCAAGGCCACATAGCCACCCCGGGTAACATTTTGAAGCCTATTGCTAGCATGTTATCAGCAGCTATGGTATGAGGGATGGAAAAAATCATTTTATCATCATTCGTGCACATTTATTACAGCACCTTCCACCTGACAGAGCATTCGCTAAGATGTCAAACAAGGTTTTGGAACAAAAAGTAAGGGGGTTACTCATTTCAGCCTTAAGAAGTAAGCTTTCCCAAAATACTTAAAGGGGTTCGAAATATTCCCCCCAAACCCTGATTTTGATGGAACATGGGAGACCACCTTGTCCTAACAAAAACAAGCCCCAAGCTGACCGTAGCCTCTCCTCAGAGTGCTTTCTGGGCAGGCACAGGACCTGCCTAAATGCCACTGCCTGGAGACCCTGCCTTTTTCCCCTGACCCCCGAGCCGCTTGCAGGGAACAGCCCTAGTCTGCTTTCTCATGTAATGGGTGTGACAAAACCCACAGCACAATGAACCCATTTACATTTTGCCAACTGGGCAACAATCACATGAGCTTTGGAATATGAAAATAAAGGGTTCGGAACATTTCACATTACTGTGGAAAAGTCTGCTGCCAACCCTTTGTGTTAAGGGGTTTTATGCCACTGAAAAATATCCTTGCTGGCAAGAAAGACCATTTGAACTTCCACATGCGAGTGTTACTCCGGCTCATACTGTGAGTGTGAATTTCGAGAGCCACCTTGTTCTTTCTTCCTAAAAACCTTTCCTCTTCTGAGATGGAGTCATGACTTGGCAACAACCAGGACCAACATGAAGACAAGGGTTGAGGTTTTAACCCGACAACTTACCCAGCTCCGTCTCTGATTTCACTTACTGCAGCATTATCCTCCTTTAGAGAGCCCAGAGCTGCTCAATACAATTCTGTGATTCTGCATCCACTCAGTGAGGACATGATTTGAGAACCCCATTTCTTTTCAAAGAAAGAACTTGTTGGGACACCTGGGCAGCTCAGTAGGTTAAACGTCTGCCTTTGGTTTAGGTCATGATCTCAGGGTCCTGGGATCGAGCCCCACTTTGGGCTCCCTGCTCAGCGGGGAGTCTGCTTCTCCCTCTCCCCCTGCCCCTCCCCCAATGCGTGCCCGTGCTCTCTCTCTCACACACACACACAAATAAAAAAATAAAATCTTTAAAAAAAAAAAAAAAGAAAGAACTTGTTTTGTAGTTAAATGATATTTTAAGTATTAAAGTTTCCTCTAAAGTCCATACCACTCATTTCAACATCTTGAGCACCACCCACATCTATCTATCTTTTTGTACTGGCTTATGTGGAGTGTGGAGTAGTGGATGGATTCAGCTCTGAGTTCTTCCATTCACTGTCCTCGTGCTCATGGAAAAACCCATCAACATTTTTGAGCCTCTGTTCTGATGATGGTAAAATGGGGACAAAATTCCCTTCGTACCTTACGGGACTATTTAACATTCAAATGGGAAAATGGATGTCAAAATCCCTTTGCAAACCACCAACAATGTGCATTATTATGGTGTGTCAATCAGAGATATATATGCTTTCATTCATTCCACAAATATATATCATGTGTTCTACTATTTGCCAAGTACTTTGCAGCAGGTATAGCAGTAAAGCAAAACCAAAACAAACAAATACCCAGCCCTTGGTGGATTTGAAGTTTTAGTAGATACAAGAACTGATAAGGATCAGGAAACACTATGGCCATCTCTAGAGCTGAGGTGGTAGGAGCTTTGTATGTAGGAAGCCATTAAATTTTGCAGAGAGGTTCTGTTCCTAATGACTAGATCCCTGATTATAATAGATTCTCAAAGGTCATCTCAATTATCTGAGGTAAACCCTGTGCAGTGGTGTCGCATTTTGTACCCTGCACCATGGGGACCCTCCTCAGATGGCAGCTGCAGCTGTGGCCTCACCCCAAGATCACCCCCTCTATACTCTGCCTCCCCACTGTCTTCCCTAAGGGAGCCTTCTCAGACTAAAGTGGGGGGCAATAACAATCCCAAGTACAATCCATCAATGAGGACAGGAGTTGGGGGACCAGTGCCTGGTTGCACCCTTAGAGGGATGGTTCTGATGAACAGTCCTCATAGCACCTCAGAGGGTCCCAAGCCCTAGGGACCCCAGGGGCTCCCCTCACTGGCTCTTCCTCCTTCACCCTCCTTCCTGCTGTCCCCTCACTCTTGCTTCCTGGTACCATCTTCAAGTTAAATTGCCTGCCACCAAGTTCTTCAGGCACTGCTTTTAGGGAAACCCAAACTGAGATATTAATCCCATTTGTTCATCAACATCACTCACAAAGAACTGAGACTCATCAAAATGTCTGGACATAGAACACTGTCGGCCATTGGAAATAATTTAGGAAGTTTTGCACAGAGATCTCCAGTTCTACCCCAAATTTGGAATGGCTGATAAGCAATCTAAATTCCTACCTCCAGGACGTCAAAGTTGCACCTTACATGATACTCCACATCAAAGTCATGGATGGTGAGCTGAATGCTACTCCCAGGGGCTGTGGTAATGTACCAGAGGCACTCCTTGTTGGGGGGATACGTGTTGGGGTACCCGGGGCTGCTGAAGGAGCCCATAGTCCCAGACAACTCCCCACCACAACCTGTAGAAACAGCAAGGCTCAGTCAGTTCAAAGTGGGCATTGACCCCTGCGAAAAATTCAAAAATCCAACCAACCAAAAGATAATTGAAAATGTACAATGCCTAATTTAGGGGAAAACTCACAAAGTTATAATAAAGTTATAATTAAGCAGTTATAAAACAATGAGAAAAAAATCATGGCTACAACTTTTTAAATGTATTCTTAAAAAACATTGATTACATCATTTGGTACAATAATTCTCAGTCCTTATTCTCACCACATCAAATCCTTGGTAATATATTTTAAATACCATTCTAATTTTTAGATTTTCTTCATTTTATTTAGGAAAGAATTTCACAGTAGGAAGTACAATGAACTAAATGAAAAGTGTTAGTGAATACCATGTCTCTCAGTCTTCAGTTTCCTTGTATGTAATACATTATTTTTAATTCCTTATCAGATCTAAGATCTAGAATACTAAGGGCTAAAAATCATTACCTTTGTATGAGAGACTATAGGAAATTAAAAAAATATATGGTATGTCCATAGCAGCTTCATTCATAATTGCCAGAACTTGGAAACAACGAAGACGTCCTTCAGTAGCTAAAAGCATAAATAAATTGTGGTACATCCAGACAATGGAATATTATTCAATGCTAACAACAAATGAGCTATCAAGCCAGAAAAAGACTTGGAGGAAATGTATATACATATTCATTAAGGAAAGAAACCAGTCTGAAAAGTCTCCATACTATTGGATTCCAAGTGTATGGCATTCTTGAAAAGGCAAAATTATGTAGACTGTAAAAAAGATAAGTGGTTGCCAGGGGCTAGAGCAGAGGAGGGATAAAAGGCCGAGCACAGGTTTTTAGGGCAGTAAACCTACTCTGTATGATACTATAATGGTGGCAATATGTCATTATACATCTGTCAGTCATTGAATGCCCAATGCCAAGAGTGAACTCTCATGTAAAGTATGGACTCTGGGTGAATGAAGTGTCAATGTAGGTTGATCAGTTGTAACAAATGTCCCACTCTGGTTGGGGTTGGGCAGGGAGAGGCTGTGTATGTGTGGGGACAGGGGTAAATAAATGGGAACTCTACCTCTCACTCAATTTTGCTGTGAACTTAAAACTCTTCTAAAAAATCAAGTCTGTTACAAACAAAAACAGTAAATGATACAGGTCCTGACCCAGAAAACTTATATCTAAACACCAACTAAACAAACAAAAACTGGATATATAAAACCTAAGCAAGGAAAACCCAAACATGAAGCTTATGTTTTAGGTGTATATATTATGCCCTAGAAAGTAATTAAGGCAAATCATTACAAGAAACAATCAGATATTTCACCATGTGATATATAGTAAGAGAAACTGCCACTAAGTGCTTAGATGTGTTTTACAGTTTTTTTTCCTATTTGAATACTCATAATAACCACGTGAAACAGGTACTACTATATCTGCATTTCTCAAGTGATCAAGTCAATGCAAACAGAGGTCAAGTGGCTTGCCCAAGGTTACCTGGCTTATAAGTGGTGGAGCAGGACATCCATACAAGCAATCTGATCATACCCAAATACTTAATTACTGAATTCTACAGACTCACGTAGTTTGTAGGAATTCAGAGATTTGAGAAGGGAGAGGAAGAGAAAACTTTGTGAAAGAAGTAAAATTTGAGGAAGGCTCAGATTTTAAAGACAAAATTAGAAAAAAAAAAGATAAAATTAGGAAAAAAGATAAATCACCCTTTTTTCCAATAACAATTTTTGGTGATTAAAAAACATTGCTTAGGGCATCTGGGTGGCTCAGTTGGTTAAGCGTCTGACTCCTGGTTTCCGCTCAGGTCATGATCTCAGGGTCCTGAGATCAAGTCCTGTCAGGGCTCCACGCTCAGTGGGGAGTCTGCTTGAGATTCTCCCTCTCCCTACTCGCGCGTGTGCGTGTGTGTGCTCTCTCTCTCAAATAAATAATAAATAAAATCTTCTTAAAAAAACAAACATTGCTTGCTCTGTCAACATATCTAAGCCACCTTTTCTATTTTTTCAGAATATTCTTTATTAGTTGGCAAAGTCTTCCAAGTATCTCCCCTCATTCTGCATCAAGACTTTTCTTGATAATACCTCCTCACTCCATGAACGTATGTGCATTGTCACATGAGTGCAATTAAACTGCCGTGACTTCAGACAAGCTCCTAAAGCTGAGTTCATGTCTCCTGTCCATGCTCTACAAACGTGCCTTATACAGTGAGTTAGAAAAAGCTTTTATAAGGGTTCAGAAGAAATATTCCCCATATAAAATCTCCACTTAACTGAAAATGGCTGAGGAGAATTCTAAGAAGAATCTTGATTCGGTAAAGAAATCTGATTCTAGCCCAATATGCCACTATCTTCTCGAGTTGCCTCCTCCTTCCCTTTGAAAACCCCGTGTTTTCAGACTTAAAGTGTCACACAGGGTAGTGCCTTTCCTATGGCCTATAAAGGTCCTAATCTTCATTTCTGGTTAAAGCCCTCTGAAAAAGCTGTTTAAAATTAGTCGTGCTGATATTGTTTATAGACTGTGGTGGATGTTAAAAAAACAGGAATGCCATGAAAGATTAGAAAATATTTTTCCTCCTAGAACAACACATGGAAAACACTCCTGAAGCCAAAATCAGCACAGTTTACGAAGCCCCACTGCAAAACCGCAGGGGGCGCCGGTCACAGAATATGCCATCAAATGATGCCCCCTGGAGTCTTGCAACATAGTGACCCATATAAATCATCTGAAGATGCAGCACCTTCTACTAAAGTACACCATAGGGAAGCAAAAGCATTCTGTTACCCTGCGCGCCCCCCCCCCGTTTTTTTCAACCTGCATTTTTCAGGTCCTATGGATCTTGGTATCAGTTGTATCAGATTAAAAAAAATCAAATGAAAAAAAGTCTTTGGAGGAGAATAACTTCATGGCCACATCATATAAAAGAGAACAAGGAGATGGAAGCTTGGATATCTCATCTCTGCATTTCTTTACTTCACTTCAGTTCACCAGACAAACTAATTCTATTTTTTTTTTATCATAGTTGATTCATCTAAAAATCTGCAGGACATTTTCCATTGTCTTTTCCAATGGTTTTAGGTTTCCTTGTAAATTCTTTTGCTAATAACAGAACACGAATACCCTTAAACTGGTCAATGTAAGCTGGAATGATAATATCAGATTCTTGGCATTCAGTGATGCTTTGAAAAATTACAGCGTTTATTTTATTCACCCACTTACAGCTCTGGAGGCCCACAGTGTACTTTTCCTTAAGATTTAAAACAAACATAAACAAGGTTTACAAAACACAAAGCCAAACTGTACTTTTAGGTATGTCATGTTCTCTTCTCATCAATAGCACTTAAGTGTGTGTCTTTTAAGGAGAAATTCCAATATTCCTATTGTACATTCATTTGGTGGTATTTTATGGTAAAACTATAAAGTACTGGAAAATGAAGTTAATTCTGATCATATGGTAGAAATTTCACTCTTTCTATTTCCACATTCTGAAAAGAGATAGAAATAACTCTCCAGTTCCCATTCATTCATTCATTCATCCAATAAGTGTTTATTGAGCATATACAACACTATGAGCCATGTTATAGAAGCCAGGTGTATTTAATGCCTCTGGAAAAAAAATCCATTTACAGATCTAAAATGTGCTCTCCCCACCTGCCCCTCTCTAAGTTATTAAACTCCTTTTGCTGTTCCTTCAGTTTGCAAAGAGTAACTTCAGTAAGTTTTGATTTGGAAAAAACAGTGAATTCTGTTTTATCCTTTACAAGTTAATTGGTGGTAAGTTATAAATAAGAATAAATAAATGGTCATGTTGAGCTGCTAAAAGATATTTTAAAAGTTCTTAGTTTTGATAGTACTGTGTTAGCATAATTCTCTTTTGGTACTTATTTCCAGTCCACAGATGAGAGATTTTAATCAACATTTAGCCAGTTATGCTTCACTCTCTTGGGTATCATCACTTTTTCCTTGATTTTGGTATTTTTTGACAAATGTGTAGATGGTATCAGGCAAAAGAAAATATGTCAAAATATACATTTTAAAAACTGAAAAAATGAATGATGTCTGTTTTTTTTCCCTATGCTCTCTTTTAGTGGTAAGGGAAAACATATTCACAAAAAATTATGAAAATTTCTATTAACTAAAAAATTAAACACCAAAAAATTAAATATGTAATGAATTTATTTGATACTTTGTTTCATAAATTCAAGCTATCATTCGGCTAACAGTGAAACATTAAAACAGGAATTTGGAATTGTATAATTATGGATGAAAATGAAAAATTATGAAGTCACACTAAGAGCTGAACTTTTTAAATTACAAATGAAAGCAAATGACAATTATAATTCACAATAAATAGTGGATTTTTTAAAGAATGTATAATGTGAGTCTTCCGAATTTTATTTATGCATCATTTCCACTTAATTAGCTCTGGAAAAGGGAGTCAGTTCCAATACCAGAAATATGATTTAGAACCATATCAACATATACTAGCCCATCATCAATCAAAAGAAATATGAAGATAATCCAAAAGTCCCATTGTGTGTAATTCTGAAAAAGAGAGAATATGTTCCAAATGCTGAAATGAATCAAAAGCTAAGTTTAATTCTGCCTCATCAACAATGTCTTACTCATATTGGATAGCACAGCTGTTTGTTTTATTTGATTTACTATTTTTGCACCTCTTGTGGAAGAAACAAGGTGTGTTTTTGTTTTTGTTTTTTTATTTGAGAGCGAGAAAGAGCACAAGCAGGGTGAAGGGCAGAGAGAGAAGCAGACTCCCCGTGAGCAGGAAGCCCAATGTGGGACTCGATCCTGGGAACTCCACAATCATGACCTGAGCCAAAGGCGGACACTCAACCAACTGAGCCACCCAGGTGCCCCTTGTTTTGTTTTTAATAAAGATTGTGAAATTAAAAAATATACCTATTTGAGAAGTTGCTTTACCTCCGTAGTTGCTATCAGTGTTCCTAATGTCCAATACTAAAA